TCGTTCTCGTCTTGTTTTCGTCATGTGTTCGTTGTCCTTCGTTCGGCCTTCGCGCTGCCCGTTCTGCGAAACAGAAGTCGGAACGAAAACGGCCCAGGAAATCGCCAACACCCCGTTTGGCTCGAGCCCTGGCGTTCATGCTGCCATTCCTGCTCCGTGCGCTCCGAGCAGCAGCAGGAAAAGGAGCGAGAGGGCACCTCGAACAGAGTCCGCTCGTCGACGACCTCGGTGATTCCCTGGCGGCCCGACTCGATCGTGTTGGGGACGAAGTGCTTCACGGTCTGCAGCGGTGGGTGCTCGACCTGCCTGGGAGGACGCCAACTGTGCAAACGATCCACTCTACACCGATCCTGGCGAAGCCGACCCTGGGCCTCGGATCTCGGGGACTCACTGACCAGGGTCAACGCAAACCCGTGCCAGTCAGGTCTTGCATGCAGGATCCTGCACCCAGACCCGGGTCAGTGCGCCCCCTGTCCCTGCAGGATCCTGCAGGAGATCTGGCGCTCTGGCTGACCCCCGCTTGCATGGACCCCCGATGTCCCTGGAGCCCCGAGGCTCGGTGACTGCGCCCTCCCCGTGCCTCTGGCGCCTGTTTAAGGAGGGGAAAAAACAGCGTAGACATCAGCTTTTCGCGCTCCGCGCGGATTTCTTGGATCTGCGCTGGACCCTTCCCTGGCGCGCAGAGCGCGCCAGGGGCGGCGCCGGAGGCGCCGCCAAATCTGCGCGGAGCGCCGAACATCTTATGTCTATGGCGTTTTTCCTTCTTCGGGCTTCGGTTCTGCTCACGACGCGGCCCCTCCGCAGGCTCTCGACAGAAGCCCCCGTTTAGGTTTCAGCGTGGGTCTGTTACTGTAGAAACGGGGAATGAAACAAACGTTGAAACACACATATTCTGCCGATCTGTGCATATGCGGCCAGGCGGATCAGGGCGGCATCAACGCGACGTCAGGGAGCGTCGTGGTCTCGAGCTTCTGGCCTGGACGCACGCCGCGCTCGACTACCCAGACAATGAAGAGTTCTGAGACCCATCGCTGTGTCCTGGGGGGGGCGCGCACAGATGCGCAGAGCACTGATCAGCTGAACGTTGGCTGGCGGAGCGGGTGCCCCCCGCTCCGCCTCTTCGCCGCGCAGCGCCCTCCTGCGGGGCCCCACGAGGTGGCGGCCTTGCCCCCTGCGCGAGGCCTGGAGGCCCGGGGCCCGGGGTCCCCAGAAGGGGCCCCCAGGGGCCTCCCAGGGGGCCTGCGGGACGGGCCCCCCCAAGAGGGGCCGCCAACGGGGCCTCCAAAGGGCGTCTGGACGCCCGCGGGAGCCCCCACCCAAACCCCCCGGGGGGCCAGAAACTCCTCAAACCCGTGGTCTCTCCGATCCTCCTCGCTCCTCTCCTCCAGGGGCCTCAAAGGGGCCTCGGGGCGGGCCCCTGGATGCGTCTGGGCGCCCGCGGGAGCCCCCCTCAAACCCCACAGGGGGCCAGACACTCCTCAAACCCATGATCAAAATCTGTCGTAAGGACGCGCTGCAAGGACGCGCAAGACCCTTGGACGGTCCTTGGACGCCCCAGTTGAAACTTCTCTAGCGACGCACTGCCGAAAAAGTCGAAGGACGCAAGGGTGTCCTTGGGAAGGTTGCCCGTCCTTACTATGGATTGTCTCTGTAGTCTCTTCGATCCCCCTCGACTCTCGCCCCCCAGGGCGCGTGCACCGACCGTTGCGCACGGGTCGGGCCGCCGGCCAGGATCAGTGTGCGCGCGGGATGGCCAGCTCGCGTCCCCGGGTCCGCCGGTACGCCGTCACCATCGCCTGGACCATCTGGGCGCCGAAGTACGGGTCCTTGGCGGCAGAAAATTACGGGCGAGCGAGCGACCGAGCGAGAGTGAATGAATGAGAAGGGCCCCTCGAGAAGCAATGCCGACTGCACAGGAGAGAATGGGGAGGCCAAGGAGGAGGAGGCGGAGGAGGAGGAGGAGGCGGAGGAGGAAGAGAAGGGTGGTAAGGAGGATGGACGATGCTTTTGTTCCCAACCATCCTGTGGTGTTGAGTCCTCGTTTTGAAGAGCCGTTTCCCCGCGTTCACTTCTCCTCCTGCTCCTGCTGCTGCCCCCTCCTCCCCTCCCTCCCCCTCCTCCCGTCACCCCGCTCACTCTGGCACACCCAGTGCAGCGCTTCGTGGCCTCATAGGGAGCTCCACCAAAGGCCCCAGTGGGGGTGCCCGCATGCGTCCGCCGCACCCAGCACAGAGCTTCGTGGCCCCATAGAGAGAGCTCCGCCGCCACACCTAGTGCAGCGCTTCGTGGCCCCATAGGAAGCTCCTTCGAAAACTCGCATACGTCCCAACCATTCGTCCCCCCCCCCCTGCTCGCAGTGCCCCGCGCCTCGTTCTTCATACGGCGCGCTGCCTATGAGAGCCGAGGGTATACTGTATGCGCTATTCGGGGTTTGCGTGCCCTTCTCCTTCGTCTCATCAGCATCGCGGTTCTCGCAGCTGCATATGGTTGGGTCTTTCGTCGGGCTAATTGTTGGACGCAGGCTGGCATCAAGCCCTAACTCCAGAGCAGCTGGTCACAACGACAGAAAGGGGGCCAACGAGGGGACCGAAAAGCGGGACAAGGCGACGGCTGGCGGCAGGAGGGGGAGGAGGGAAGGGGGGAAGAGAGAGGAGAGGAGGAGAAGGGAGGGAGGGGGAGAGAATGGCGGAGAAGGGAGGGAGGGTGGATGGAGGGGCGGGGTGGGGGGCGGCCCCCAGGAACCCCTAAAGAGGCCCCCAGGGTCGCCCTCAACGGGCCCCTCAGAGGCCCCCGCGAACCTCGCAAGAAGCCCTCAGGAGACCCCAGGAGGGACCCGAGGCCTCAGGAGGCCTCCTCCGCCTCTTCCTCTTCCTCTTCCTCCTCCTCCTCCTCCTCCTCCTCCTCCTCCTCCTCCTCCTCCGCCTCCTCCTCCTCGTCCTCCTCCTCCTCCTCCTCCTCCTCCTCCTCCTCCTCCTCCCCCTCCTCCTCTCTCTCGTCATCCTCTCTCTCTCTATATATATAGGTATATGTCTCTCTCTCTCTCTCTCTTTCTCTCTTCCTCCATCAAATGGTCCTTCAAGGGTTCCACAACGGTCCAACGTTCGGCCACATCAGCATTCCCAGAGAAAGGCAGGAGGGCGGTGGTTCGACGTAGGCCGTAGACGCCTTCGCAGAAACACGCAATGTTCATACCAACGGGATTGGTAGCGGCAGCGGCAGAAGTTAACGGTAGTGGCAACGGCAGGGGTAAAGGTGGTGGCGAGCCATCGCGCTATGTTGCAGTTGGTGTTTGTACGTGCGTCAAGCCATGACAGTTGTTTTCTGGTGTTGCCCCTTGCGAGCCCACACTTCGGGCCCCCGACGCATCGGGCCCGGCATGCGTCAAGCTGCTGATCCAAGTCCTTGCATCGTTTCGGATTCTCACAGAAGGCACTACAAAAACATTGGGTCTGCCGCAGGGCCCAGAGCGCGGTGGCGACGAGCGGCAGCGCCAGTGGAGAGTGCAGGATGACGACTAAGACAGCAACACGGATGGAACTATTTGAGAAGCCTGTCTCTGCCGGTTGGAGGCTTGCTGAAGGACGCTCACGAACAGGCACGGAACCAAACTGATTGATCATCGCCCTGGGCCCTGCTGCGTGACGGGCACCCTGGGCACTGCTGTATCAAACTCGCCACTTTGAATTTGCGACTGTGGCACTGGCAGCGGCAACGGCAAGGGCAGTGGCAGCAGCAGTGGCATCGGTAGTAGCGCTGGAAGTGACAGAGGTAAGGAAGACGAGGATTACATATATCTCGCTCAGACTCTTCGTCACTGTTGCCCTCGACCGCGCCCCACGCGGCGAGGAGGAGGAACTATGCCTCCCAATCAAAGTTTTGTTACAGGCGGCAGCGGCGACTGCTGCCGCCAAACGCGGCGGCGACCGAAGTCGGCCAGGTGGGAGGCGGCGAAACAGGCAGCGACGCGCTAGACATCCCCATTCTGCGATCGCCAGGTGCACCGCTCGTCCGAGACCGGGACGTGTCCATGCTCACCGCTCTGGGAACCGACCACCTACTTCCCAGGGCCCCAAAGAGGCGTTGGACGTGGGCAGCCGCGCACCCCACGGAGGGCCAGAGACATCCGCACCCACTGCCTCCGACTACACGCAGGAGCGACACTGGGCAACAGTGACCTTTTGTGCGCGGCCTGAGGGGGCCGCTGGTAGGCCAAATCCACGCGCGCAGGTCAATGCCGGTGGGACCCTGTGGGCCCCCACCAGAGAGGTCACTCCGGCGAAGGGGCCACTCCTGCGCGAAGCCGACGCCCCCCTGTGCCCTGGGAAGCCGGTGCCCTGTGGTGTGGATGTGCGCACCGAGGGAGGCAACGCTGCACTATCACGGAAGTTTTCTCGGAGGCCCGCATCGGTTCCTTGTGGCCCAGCGCGGGGCCCCCGTTCGCCGCGCACTCTCGCCGGGCGCGGAGCGCGCGCCATCCAGAGCCGAGCGTGGGCAAATGGGTCCCTGGCAAATGCAACAATTCCGCCCGCAAGCCCAGAAAAGATCATATGTCTACAGTCACAGACGAAAGCACGCAGCCGAATCATGAGCCTGGAACCTCAGCGCCACGGGAACGAATCAGCCTGAAGAGCATCGAGGGTGCCATTCTCCAGGCTGCGCAAGGACATGGGCGCACGCCGAAAAACCTCAGAGCACCATTCTCGAACCCAGCATGCCTCACACATCTCCCCGGCTGTATGCAACACCTACTCTTCGATGAACCGTGGACACGGACAGGCCCCGGCCTCGGGCCTCACGTCTCCACCGTTAGGGCCACGTTGACAAATTACACGATCTTTCAAACATGACAGTTCAGAGGTCCGCGCGGATTGCTCGGATCGGCGTTGGGACCCACCAGCGGCGCCTCCGGCGCCGCTGGCGCCAAAGGCGCGCCAGGGAGGAGGGCCCACCGCCAATCCAAGAAATCTGTGTGGACGTCCGGATTATCATGCTGATGTGTCCTCGATGAGCCCTTATAGCGGTGCGACGGCGGTAAAAAGAGGGGCAGAAGATAACGGAGACGACGGGGAGCACAGCGCTCGGGTCAAAGCCCGCCGCGCGCTCGGCACAAGCCATGGCTCGGAGGGCCTGGTTGGGCACCGTCAGGCCAACAGGCTCCGCAGCTCTGGCGCGCACGTAGTCGATGAAGCGTACTACCTTCATCGGCCACAGGATGCTGCGCAGCATCTCGCCCGCACGCACACACGACCTCACTGGGTTGAGGCGCGCGCGGCCCGTGATGCCATCCAGCGCCCGCCCATGGTCCATGCAGGACTCTGCCACCTCCAGCGAGGGCGCCTCCATCTCGCCGAGCAGCCGGAGCAGGCGAGGCCTCCAGCGAACCCTCTCTCGAGCCTCCAGCTCGCCGCGACTCTCCTCGGCAGCGGCGCGGCACGTCCGCGCGCAGCGGGTTCCTGCTAACACGCGGGCACCTGGCGGGGGAAGGGCCTCACGCCACTCCATATCACACGGCCAAGAGACTCGTCACGGCGTCCTCCAGCATGGCTTGCTCGGGGCGGCCGTGGAGCATTCGTAGCCGCTTCTGCAACGGCCCCTCGTCCACCGCCGGCGAAATTCCTGCAGCGGGATCGGTATCTGCTCCAAACTGAGGCCCGGGGCCGCTGCCACCTGCGCAAGCGTCTGCTCGAATTCGGGCTCGCTCGCCTGCAGCGACAGACGTGGGCCGAAGAGCCCGCACCCGTGCAGACCCTGCGAGCCCGGCGCCGCGCGCGCGGCATAGAGGGCGCACGGCCCCAAGGGCCAGCATCTGCGCCCGACCGTTGTCCAAGAGCGACCGAGCGCCTGAGCCCAAGTGGCCACATGCGAGGCGGGGATTTATCCATGTCCACCGCCTGGGAAACGACGGCCTGGTGCCCCAGCGGGCGGCGGATACGGATATAGTTTAGCCCCCGGGGGGCCCGAATATGTCCATGTCCACCGCCTGCCGCGGTCCCCGAAAGTTGATCCTCCAGGCGGTGGTTATGTACAAATTCCTGCCTCGGACCACGGACGTCGGGCAGGTAGGAGGATACACTCACGCGCTGGCACACGGGAGCGCCAGCGTTCGGCTTCCCAGAAGTGCGGAAGGCTCGGCCCGCAGTACCGCCCGCGGCGCTGCGGGTAGCCAGCCTTGGGGAAACCAAGGGGTGCTAGAACCGCTGCTCCCCAGACCTCTCGTGGGGTGGGTTGCGACCACGATTCCGGGGCGAATCCAGCCGTGGCGAAGAGGGCCTCCCAAGAGGCCCAACAAAAAGGGGGAAAACGAGGAAGGGTAATCGGCGGTATCCGTACCTCTTCCTCCTCTGACGCTTCGCGCGCGCGCTGGCACAGCAAGCGGCCACAACCACATCGAGGACACACCCTGTGGGATAGCTTCCGCATGCCAAACGTTGTCGGAACAATGAGACCAGCTTCGTACTGCTCTTGAGTCGGGCCTGTCCTCCTACAGGGGGACGCTGGACGAAAAAAACAGTAGAAAAACAGATGCCCCCAAATGGTCAAGAGTTGCTCAAAAAGCCGTCCCCTGACTTTTTGCTTGGCTGTTCTTGGATATTCCTCCTGTACAGGGACGGGCCCGAGGTTATACTGGTCAAATGGTCAAAAGTTGCTCCAAAAGCCGTCCCCTGACGTTTGGTTTGACGATTCTTGGATAATTCCTCCTGTGGAGGGACGGGCCCGAGGTTATACTGGTCAAATGGTCAAAAGTTGCTCCAAAAGCCGTCCCCTGACTTCTTGTTCGACTATTCTTGGATCTTCCTCCTGGAGAGGGGCGGGCCCGACGTCATACACTGGCCGTGGTCGACGTGGCGTCCCCAGGGCGGCCCGCGCGACCGCAACCACGACCAAATGTGTGCCCCTTGTCGCGGACGGTGGGCTCTCCCCCGCGGGGCCCTCCCGAAAAATCCACTTATCAGGGGGGCGTAAGACCCGGGTACAGGGGACTCGGAAATCCCCGACGGGGTCGTCAAAAAAAATGACGAGGCCGAGCCTGCATTTTGACGAGGCCTCCCGCTGCAGACATCCCACGAAACTCCTACTCGTCAAAATCCGAGTCGCGGTCGTCAAAAAACGATGGCGAACCCGAGTCCTGGCAAACCCGGGTCTTACGCTCCCCCTAACTTAGTGTGAAGTCGGGCGTGTCCCCTTACAGGGGGACTTTGGGCGAACAAAAAAATGGCAAGAATAGTCAAAAAATCGTCCCCAGATGTTTTTGGAGTGTTTTTGGAATGTTTTTGGAGTGTTTTTGGAGTGTTAAGTCGGGCGTGTCCCCTTACAGGGGGACCTTGTGCGAAAAAAAAAAAAAAAAAACTCCAAGAAATACCCCCCCAATGGGCAAGAATAATCAAAAAATCGTCCCCAGATGTTTTTGGGAGTGTTTTTGAATATTCCCCCTGTAGAGGGACACGCCCGACTCAAACCTAGCTGTGGTTGGTTAGATGAAGAAAACACGGCACAAACATAAACTTTTCGCGCTCCGCCCGGATTTCTTGGATCTGCGCCGGGCCCCCCCCCCCCTGGCGGGCTCCGCGCGCCAGGGGCGGCGCCGGCGGCGGAGGCGCCGCCAGGGGGCCCCAGCGCGGATCCAAAAAAAACGCGCGGATCGCCAAAAACTGATGCTGATGCCGAACGTTCTTCTTCGAGAGGGGCCCTCCCGCAAAATCCGCTCAGTTGTGGCTGTGGTTCTTTGCTGTGCCCTCCTCCTCCTCCTCCTCCTCCCTCTCCTCCTCCTCCCTCCTCCTCCTCCTCCTCCTCCTCCTCTCCTCCTCCTCCTCCTCCTCCTCCTCCTCCTCCTCCCTCCTCCTCCTCCTCCTCCTCCTCCTCCTCCTCCTCCTCCTCCTTCCTCGTGCCCGGAGCTTCGCGCGCGCGCGCGAGGCCGCCCTACTCGGCGAGGGCCCCTGGTGCAGGCGGCCGCCCTGCTCGGCGGGCGGCCGCCCTACTCGGCGGGCGCCGCCTCCTCGGCCGCCGCCGCGGGCGGCTCCTCGGAGAGGCGCGCGCTGGCGGCGACGGCTTCGGCGTCGACAACGTCGGCGCTCGGAGGTCGGCGACGACGACGACGACGACGACGACGACGACGGCGACGACGGCGACGACGACGACGACGACGACGACGACGACGACGACGACGACGACGAACACGACGACGGCCACGACGACGGCGACGACGGCGACGACGGCGGCGACGACGACGGCGACGACGGCGACGACGGCGACGACGACGACGACCCCCCGGCGCGTAGTCGCAAAGATGCACTGGGCGTACCCGGTGCAGGGCCGGCATCCCGAGGGGAGCGGGGGCGCACGGAGGGCGGCGACGACAAGTGAGCGACGAAAAGAGTGGGGCAACTACCTTCGCGCTCCGCGCTCCCCGAAGCGCGAAGCGCGATTACCTTCGGGCTTTCGCGCCGCCCCCACCCCACCCCCGGAACAGGATGAGGGGCTCGCGCCTCGCTCTGAAATCGCCCGGACCGCGACGCGCGATGCGCGCCCAACTTCGCGGCCTCGTGGTGGCCCCCGAGAAGCGGGTCTTACGACCGCGATGGCATGGTGACCTCGCGCGGCCCGCGCGGGCCCCCGGCGCGGCACGCCGCAGCGGAGACCGGGGAGCGGAGCTCACGCGCGACCGCGCGCGGGCAGCCTGCGCGCGGACGTCGGCGGTCAGGGCCCCGTTGTCCTGCGGTGCGCAGGGGGCACGAGAGCAGAGAGGGCTCCCGGGCCAGGCGGGCGGGGGGGGGGGGCGGCAGCGCCCGTCGGGTCTGGGGCGAGGGAGGGGGGACACGAGCGAAGGGCACCACCGCCACGGCCACGAAAAGAAAGTGCTCCGAGCTCCAGAGCACTCGGGGATGGACAGAGCCCCCTTTCTAGCAAGACGTGAACTCGTGAAAGCGACCTTGGGCCCAACCCTGGCGGGCGCAAGCCTGGAAAATGACGGCCGCGGCGCCCTCTCGAGAACCGAAAGAGGACAATTCACTAATCGACGTGGCAGGGTGGGGGTTGTGTCCACCCCCGAAGCACGGCTGCGCAAGAGAACACGGCCACGGCCCTGCCCTCAGCGTGTGCTGTGGTCCTGGCTGGCCCTGCGAGGCCGCAGCCGTGAGCACGCCAAGAGCAGGGCAGGGGCGCTCACGCCAAGTAGGGTCGGTCGAGCGACACAGCCCTCCGAATACTCACGCGAAGAACCAAGCACGCAGGACACACGCCGAGTGCGGAGCACCTGACGTGTACAGGCGTGCTCCCAACCATGATGGGCCTGTTTTCCACCACCACCACCACCATAACTGAGTTGGAGGAGGAGGGGATCCTCCTCCACCTCCTCCTCCTCCTCCTTCTCCTCCTCCTCTCTTCGTCCTCCTCCTCCTCCTCCTCCTCCTCCTCCTCCTCCTCCTCCTCCTCCTCTCTCGTCCTTCTCCTCCTCCTCCTCCTCGTCCTCCTCCTCCTCCTCTTCGTCCTCCTCCTCCTCCTCTTGCTTCCCCCCTCCAACTTCTGGTGGTGGTGGTGGAAAGCATGGGGCCCCTCAAACTACACGCTCAGAATAGGACCATGACAGTAGAACTCTTTGCGCAGGCGTCCGGGGCGCCTGCCCAGGTGTGGCTGGGACACGTACCCCCCCGCCCCGCGTGCCGCCACAGGGGTGTCAGACTTTCCAGCCGCTCCGCGACAGGCCTCCCCGGCGAGGGAGAAGTTCAAATTTGTTACCGTCCTTCGTGCGCTAATGTCGACGTCGACGACGTCGGTAGAGGCGGAGGGGGGGGGGGGCATTCCTGGAGGGTCCTCGTCGGCATGGCGACGACGCGGCTCGAGAAAGTGGCTGGGGTGGAACTGGGAGGGGGCCAGAGTCCGGTTTTGGGGCCCGACTTCTGCGCCAGGGGGTTGGGGGCGCCAGGTGGGGAAGGACCCCGACATCCTGGCGACTCAGTTTTTTCGAGCCGGACGTTTTCGCCCAGCTTTGAGCCCTGGACCCTCA